ACGCCCCGGCCCCAAGAGACCAAGGTCAAGTCATCTATGTGCGCTATGCTGCCAGTATCTTCTACCATATTTGCAGACTGCTCTAGAACAGGTTTGAGATAAGCTTTCGCCTCGTACGTGGCACTAGAGCCCCCTGCTGTAATCCCTCTCTGCGAATACTTGGCTTTGGACACGCTTCCATCCAGCAGCAACCTGCGCGGCCACCTGTATACGTGTATGTTCAGCATCAATATGTGGACTGGGTACTTCGTGCAATCCAACTGCTTGACCATGAGACTGTGATCAATAGTCTCATAATAAGACTTCAAGTCCCACAACAACTTGAGATAATGGTAGCCTTTTCCAGCCGCTAACGCGCTTCGCATGGCCTGTCGCCATACGGTGTCCTCAGGAGACCTTTTCTGCGTCGCCGATAACTGGGGCCCCATGCCGTACTCTGCCTCCCACTGCTTGCACTCTCTGCCCATAAGTTTCCCTTTCACTCTCAATAGCCCTGGAAAGAAGGCAATGCACCGTCTCCCCGGGCCTTTGTGCTTCCTTGCCAATTGCATGTTCATGATTTGCATGACCCGCGGCGTCGAACAAGTGACATCCATGAGCTGAAATATGAGCGCTGCTGTCTCCATGCACTCTTCACTGGTCATGCTGAAGTGTCTGGGGTGGAAGCCATCGGGCCGACACGTGAAAGCTTTGAATTTCTTGGCGATGTGCTGAAGATCCCTGGCGTCGCTGAGCTCTGGGACTGGGAATGGCAAATAGCTGGCCACGTCGTCTGGGGCAGGGTTGGGGTCATCTGTGGCTGCCCACTTGTCCCCCCATTCTGACAATTGGTGCTGCAGGTAGACAGGCAGCGAGGTGGAGAAGCCTTCTTCCGACCATACCTCTTCTGCCTCACAGCAGTCTTTTTCCTTGAGCTGTCGGTAAATGTCCGAACCTGATCCTTCACATGCCTTATCTACCCATGCGTGCCAGGCTTCCTTTTCATCCTTCTTCTCCTTACCTTGTACCCCATGCAGACATGCTTCAGACACTTGCAACGCATGCGTAACAAACAACCTCCCATCCATGAGACAACTGGTGATGAGCGTCTGAGCTATGTCGGCAATGTAGTCATGGAAGAGGTCGCCTCCTGCCTTCCAGTGGGCCCTAAAAGGCTCACCTCTTTTGGGCATGCTCCTAAGACGGTGCAGCTGATTGCGCAACTCACCCGCTGGCTTGCTATAGCCCTCGCCCCCATCGTAGCGCGATGCAAGCTCCCGGAACCTGTGTACTACCCACAACATGGCCTTTTCTGGCAACTTCTGGGGGTAGTACTTGCATTTGAGGAGCTCCGCGAGTGGCTTGAGAGACGTAGTCATCGCCGTGCCAAGCTCCTTGCCTGGGACCCCCGGACTCGTCTGGGTGACCTGATAGAGCTCTTGCCGGACTAGCGGAAGCCACCTATCATATATGTTGTCCAAGAGCGTGGTTCCATTGACATGGTCTTCGCTGCCCCCTGCGGTACTCCAGACTGCTCCTTGGCTGTCTTTCCTATCTTGCAGGTAAGCCCTCAAGTCCTGGATCAGGCCCCCGTAGTCTGGTGGCCGTTGTTTGGGTCCGATGGCCGGGGAGCTGGGGATCTTCTGATGAAGATCGGGTACTTCCACCAGGATGGTCTCCAGGCCCCCTTTGAGCCTTAATTGGACTACTCTGTGAGGGGCCAGCTCTATGGCGTCCTGAATACAAACTGAATCCATGGCGTTCGCCACAAGAGATGTGATAACAAAGTAATCATAATGCGACTTTCTGGTTGGAGTGCAACACGTGGGCTCCAGCGGGCATTTTACAGCCGAGTTCAACACATCAAGCTCGACATGCTCTGTGAAAATGTTAGCTTCTATGTTTTAGTCTCCTCCTGCGATGCTCTGGTAGCCATGGTTCAACATGTCCTCTCCCATGGCGCGGATAATGCTCAAGTTGGCGGGGTTCAGCCCTTTGCCTGTGTGCATGTACACGCTGTAAATTGCAATGACCCCATACTCCCGTAACCTGAGAAAGCATCTGCATAGCCGCCCTGGAGCAATAATTTCCCTGCAAACTCCCGTAAATGAGTCAAGGTGGCCCTTGACCAATATGAGTACTCCACTTGATGTGCCCCCTTTGGGCCCCTTGAGGCCAGGCGCCCCGTACACTTTGAAACCTTTCCTTCGGAGCTTATTGACTGCAGCCACACATTTCTTGGTTTGCAGCCTGTGCTCCTGCACCAGGATAACATCTGCTTTCACTGCATCGATGATGTTGGCCCCCGTCCCCCAGCTGTTGATGTTGGCCGTGGCAATGGTGAAGCCTCGCATTTTCTTCTTAGTGTGCGACTCCGGGAACAGGGGCCTCTGCTCTTGCAAGTGCTGCACCTGTGTTGGCTGCTGCTCCTGCTGCGCCGCTTCCGGTGGCTGCTGAATCTGCCGCTGCTGCTGCTGTGACCGCTGCTTTGGTAGCGTCCGGCGGCCCCTTGCGGGACCCTTCCTTCTCCTAGCCCTCCATGTCCTTTGAGCATCTTCCCATGCCCTCGGACGTTCTGGAAAGCCTCCAAGACCTGCTCCTCCTGGTCCCCCGTGACGGTCCGAGACGAAGGAGATTCCTGGAGCGTGGTGATGCGGCTCCCCAGGTCCAGCTCCGAAGGGCGCTTGGCATGCTGTTTGTCTGCCGATTTACCTTTTCCTCCCTTCCCTTTGCCTGCCTTGGTTTTGTTTTTGACCGGGATGAGATCTTCAAGGTCCCTGTCGTACGACTCTCCTTTGTGTTCCGCCCCGTCTTCATCCACAGGCATGGCGAAACCCACATTGGGTTGCTTTGGAGGTTCTGCCTGGGCCATGTCTTCGTGCCACCTCTGGTAAAGATCATCTTTCGTGACTTCTGGCAGGGTCTCCAGGATGCGGTTCCACGAGTCAAGCTGTGCCTGAGCGGTCGCATCAGGAGCCTGAGCTCCATTCCTGGCCGGTGGGGTTCCTGATGCCCCCTCCTGTAGGTTTGCGATTTCCTGCTCAAGTTCCTGGGCCTTTCCCTCAAGGTGCTCTTTTTGTATGTGAATGCCTGCATTAGCTTCGTCGCAATAGTGGATCTGCTCCCAGACGCCCTCCAATTGAGCTTCCTTATTCTTAAGCTTCTTTTCCTGTCTGTGGAGGACTTGGGAGAGGTATCTGTGCATCTTCGGATTCTTTCAGGGCCCCGTATAGGGCCTCCATCTGAGGGACCAGCTCCGGGTCCACGTCGCTGTACTGGGATTTGGCCTTCTGGAGTAGCTCATGGAACAGAGCGGCACAGGTATGGTGGTGCTTACAAGTGTTACGATCTTCTTTATACTGCTGACCTGCCCACCCTCCCCAGCCCATGTCATGCTTCTTGCCGTAGCCGTAGTTCTGGTAGTGGTAATAGTTGTTGGACTTGCCGCCCTTGCCGAAACCTGGCACTGGAGGGAGGCCGACTGCAAGAACACCTGGGCCTTTACGTGCTCCTCCTCTTCCTCCTTGACCTCCTTTGCCTCCTGAAAGGGTCCTTTCGGCTCGCCCTTAGAGGTCTTACCGAGGCCTGAGACTCCCCCCTTGTTCCAGCCCTTGGAGGGTGGTGGGGGAATATCCCGGGGAACGGAGTTTTCAATCCCGAACTGGCGAATATCAGAATGACAGTGGTAGCAAGAAGCATACCAATGAGGATTCTTTTTGCAACCGCAGAGGGTGCACGTAACTCCAGTGACCTGGTACCCATGCTTGTAAGAGCCATGCTGGATCTGGCTGGGGATGTGATTTGAAAGCGGGTGGAGTCGCGAACTACAGGCCAGTAAGTCTCAGGGGGTTCAGAGCAACACGCCTCAATCGCTTGAGCGAGGTTGGAAGTTCAGGAGAAGGCCCCTTGAGCCAAAATGGCTACGGAGCCTCCTCCTCCTCCTCCTCCTCCTTCTCGCCCTCCTCCTCCTCCTCCTCCTCCTCCTTCTCGCCCTCCTCCTCCTCCTCCTCCTCCTCCTCCTCCTCCTCGCCCTCCTCCTCCCCCCGCCTGCGCCCTTCCCCCCGCCAGCACTTCCCAGCCTTGCCCTGCCGCTGCTTCTGCCCCGCCCTGGCGCTCGGGCCGAGGCCCCTGCCGCCCCGCCCGATGTCCCCCACCATCCCGTCCCCGCTGCGATCCTCAATCCAGGAGGAGGAGGCGGAGGAGGAGGAGGAGGAGGAGGAGGAGGAGGAGGAGGGGGAGGAGGAGGAGGAGGAGGAGGAGGAGGAGGAGGAGGAGGGCGTCTTGGATCGGCCGTGGTGGAAGTGGCCTCTTGGCCCAGGAGGACCTGTCGGCGGCGAGCCCCGCCGGGCGATCGAGAAGGGGAAGGCCTCCTCAGAAGGCCCGGAAGTGACCCTGGCCTCCCGAGAATTCTTCCAGGCCTTCCCGAAGACACAGCACACCTCTCGAGGAGGCCGGCGGGCTTCGGAGAGGCCCCGCTGCCTTCCGAGAGGGGCTTCGCCTTCTCACTTCCCCCCCTCGCTCGCCTGCAAGCCCGGGGGTTCCACTGCTGCCGTTGCCAAGTGCAGGGTGCTGAAGGCGCCACCTCGCCAGAGGCGTGCCTCGGTCTCTCCTCCAAGCTGTTAGCCGAGTTCTCCACATCTTCTCCGACAGGCTCCGCGAGCACCATAATACACGCCGGTCGTTGCAAATGGGTATTTTGGGACTCTCAGATCCCAATCTATTTGAGGCGCCTTCCTACTTCAAGGATCGACAGGTTTCCTTCTTCCATCCTCTTCAGGGGGCGAGCGGAAGCCCAATCTACTTCCAAGGCCTTTCTCTTTCATGTTTCTACCTACTTCATCCGACCAGCGTGTACTAATTGTTAGCCGAGTTCTCCACCTCTCCTCCGACAGGCTCCGCGAGCACCCAAATATTGGGAACTCTGGACAATCCGTCTTGAAAGCCGAAACACATGCGGGATTGCTTGCTCAGTTTCAGATGTACAGGTGCTCGGGCTCTTTTGTTATTCAGAAAAAAGAGCACAGGTCTTCCACCCAATGGTGTACGCGTCCTTGCTGCCCGTGTTTGCTGGCGTCGCGCTCGCGTCTTCCAGCGAGGACCACTCTCTTTCTTTGCTTTTGCTCTGGCGCGCAGTGTCCACGATATGATGTCGATAGGTATTATGCTCTCTCTTTCTCTCTCTCTCTCTTTCTCTCTATTTCCCTCTCTCTCACAATCTTCTTTTGTTTGTTTTCTATATGTCTCTCTCTCTGTCGCTACCCTGCCAGCTCCCATGAATCGTAAGGAGATTGGGAGGTGGCAGTGAAAAGGCTTGCATGGCGGTTGCGAGCGTGCTTCCTGACTTTGATCTCTGATGGGGGACGCTGCTTGTGTTCGACGGCAGCTCGGTGGTGCATGACAGTATATTCTAGGAGTTCGGCTCGGTGGCGCCAGCAGCCTGCAGCGCCCACAATGCAGGCTCATCTTTGCCTTTGCCTTTTTCGGGTGGAGGTTTCGGCACAGCATCCTGGACCAGGCTTCGACTCCAGGCAGGAGTGCATTGATCACTGAAATGCTGTTCAAGCCTAACAGAGCACCTATCATAAGTTTAGTTTTTGTTGGTTTGTTGTTGAGTTTTTCATTTCTGGAGAGTAATTCTTGTTGATCCCCCCCGCCCTGTGCCCATTGTATTTCTCAATTGAGGTGCCCACCCCGCGGCTCGCACCCTGTTTGCTCATCAGGGGAAATCTTGAACCTCAAACTGGGCCCCTGGCCCCCAGACTATCACAACAAAGTCTTCTCAAAATCGCGCTCCCGCTCGAGATTCTCAACCTGCTCACGCATGGCGCTCTCGCTGATGACGCCCTTGCAACTTACTAAGGCGCTGCACTCTCGTCGTCCAGGAATCGCGCTCTCGCAGGAAACCTCATCGCAATTTACTCAGGACTCATGTTCTCGCCTGAGGCTTCGCCACAATGTACGAAGATCGCTTCAACCGCCTCCCCCAATCCGCCCGTTAGGGCCCGCCCGCCCGACCCGTCCATTAGGGTTCTCCTGGCCGACACGCCCGTTCGTTCGCCTGTTCGGAAGCCCGTCCGCCCGCTTCAAAGTCCCGCCCGACCCGCCTGTTAGGATCCGCCCGCCTGGCCCGCCCGTCACAGTCCGGCCTTTGGCGCGCTTGGAAATCCGCCAGTTCGCTTTGGTTTCCCGCCCGCCTGACACGCCCGTTAGGGTCCGCCCGCCCAACCCCCACTTCAGGGTCGGCCCGCCCGTCAGGGTCCTCTTGCCAAATGTCTTGCTCTTCTCTCCTCCCCCTCCTGCCAAGTCTTTCTCGTCCCTCAATTCTCCTCCCTTACTCTTGTCCCCCCCCCTTCCGTTCTCTTTCACTCCTCCTTTTTTCGCCTCCCTTTTCCTTTCCTGTTTTGTCCTGCATTTTAGGGGCCCCGCCAGCCACACGCGGAAGGCAAGGAACATGTGTACCCGCAAAGGGGCTACGATCGCAGACGAAGAGGGCGGACTTCGAGGGCTTAGGGTCGATAGGTTGACTGTCCCGCAATCAGAAAGACCGCGTTCTGTGGTCGCTTTGAGGGGGGGGGGGGGTTTGGAACCGGACCCCCCCCCCGGATGGAGGGGGGGCGTTTCGACCCCCCCCCCTCCCCCCCTATTTCTCCTCTCTCCCTCTCCTCGGGCCGGCGCCTGCGTCGGCGGCGGCTGGCGGCGGCGGCGGCGGGGACGACGATTTTCCTTTTCTGGGCCGGCGCCGAGGCCTGCGGCGGCGGGCGGCGGCGGCGGCGGGTGGTGGTGGTGGGTTGTGGTAGTGGTGGGTTGTGGTGGTGGTGGCGGTGGTGGTGGTTGTGGTGGTGGTGGTGTGGTGGTTTGTTGTGGTGATGGTGGTTGTGGTGGTGGGTGGTGTTGGTGTTTGTGGTGGTGGTGGTTTGGTGGTGGTTTGGTGGTGGTGTGGTGGTGGTGTGGTGGTGGTGGTGGTGGCTTGGTGGTGGCTTGGTGGTGGTGGTGTGGTGGTGGTTTTTAGTGGTGGTGGTGGTGGTGGTGGGTTGGTGGTGGCGGTGGTTTGTGGAGGTGGTGGTGGTGGTGGTGGTGGTGGTGATGGTGGCGGTGGTGGTGGTGGTGTGTTGGTTTGTGGTGGTGGTGGGTTGTGCTGCTGATAGTGGTGGTGGTAGTGGCGGTGGTGGTGGTGGTTGCGGTGGTGGTGTTGGCTGTGGTGGCGGTGGTGGTGATGGTTGTGTGGTGGTCTGGTGGTGGTGGTGGTGGGTTGAGGTGGTGGTGGTGGTGGTAGTGGTGGTGGTGGTGATGGTAATCGTCGCTGCGCCCCCGCCGTCGGCGATGCTGGCGGCCGCCAGCGCCTGCGCCGGCGCTGGTGCCGGGGGGGGTGCAACTTCCCCCCCGCGCGCTTGGGAAGGGGGGCGGGGTGGGGGGGGGGGTTTTGGGGGGAGGGGGGTTCCCCTTGTTTTGATCGACGGCGCCGAGTGGTGAGGGGGGCCCCCCCCCTGGTTCGAAACGCGCCGCCGAATGTTCCCAAGGCAAGCGCCGGTGAAACGCGTTCTCTCCGTGATCAACAAAGAGCAATCAGTCTTACATTGGCTTTTGAGTTATCACTCCTGAAGAGTAATGACTGTTGGTCCCCCATCCTGTAACATGTGTGTTGGTGCCACCCTCTGGGCTCGCACTCGCTTTCTTTTGACCAGGGGGAGTTCTTGGGTGCCCAAATTGTGTTGGCGACCCCCGAGCTACAACAACATCGGCGTCCGCCTGATACTTCCTCATACTGTACTGAACAAGCGGGCTCTCGCTCGGGACTCCCGTTCAATTTGCCCAGGACTCGCGTCATGCTGTTTCCACACAATTCGTGGCGCCTGTTACTAGTATTACCACTATTATTATTAGTATTAGTATTCGTAGATTATTAATAATATTATTGTTGTTGTTGTTGTTGTTGTTGTTGTTGTTGTTGTTGTTGTTGTTGTTGTTGTTGTTGTTGTTGTTGTTATTATTATTATCTTCAGTATCATCATAATAATAATAATTATCATTATTAATAACACTAATAATATTTCAATACGTCCCTTACCCCCCCTTGGGCCGCGCACGTGCCGCTGGCTATGATTTGCGCCCCCCCCTCTTGGACGCCCCCCCTCTGGCCGACCCTGAGTTGCTCCGTCACTTCCGTTCTTTTCACCTCCTCAGCTCCTTGCTGGTGGCCCTTGAGTTCTCTCTTCGTCACCGCGTCCTGTGTGTTCCAGGGGATGCGCACGATGCACGGAGGGGCTCGCAAGGGACGTGGGGACGAAGTGCTTTGGTTCTGCGGGGGAAGGCGCTTCCACATTGCGGACTCACCAGCAGCACGATCACCCTTCCTTCCCTCCCTCCCCTCGGGAGTGGCGCGTGCTTGAGGGACCCGTAGTTACCCAGAAACGCATGATCATCTGAGCACTGCTCTGCAGCTTTTGGCGGCCCTGGGGGACATGCAACCATGCAGTGCCAACGTCAAACATTCGGTCAGACGTTTCAAGTCGGAGGGGCGTGTGTCCCGCTACGCGTCTTTGGTCCGGTTCGCCTCTTCTGGTCCCGTTTGGGCGCGCGAGACGACAGGCCAGAGTTGCCGCGGATCTCTCCCGCCTTCTGGGGTGGGGGGAGGTGCCGAAGAGTTGCCACGGCGGCATTTGTAGTAGCAGTTCTGCTGTTTCATGGTGGTCGGGGTGGAGGGGTTTCGCGGTTGCGCCAGTCGCCCTCCGTGCCGCCTACAGCTGTCCTTCACCATGTTCGGCTTTCTGACGGCCATGGGCTCCAATTTTGCATTCGTTTCCCGCAACGTCCTTGCAACGAAGTTCGGCAAGGCTGGCGACATGGGAGACGACCAGCAGACTAGGAAGGGGAGGGGTGGGGAGGGGAGGAGAAGGAGGACAAGGACGAATAAGGAGGAGGGGGAGGGTATGGAGGAGGAGGAGGAGGATGAGGAGGGGGAGGGGGAGGAGGAGGAGGAGAGGAGGAGGAGGAGGACGAGGGCGAACCGAGAAGTTACACCATCGCCACAATCTTCGAACCCAGGCTTGAACTACTTAGTGGGGGGACCCCCTGGGAGCAGGCGGAGCTGGAGCGACAACCCTAAGCGAGTCTCGAATGCCCAACATAACAGCTGAAGGATAGCCAGCTGCTGCGGGCCAGCCCAGCGAGAACGGCGTTACGCCCCCGAGGCCCAATTAGGCCTACAGAGGCTCCTGACCTTGCCCGCGGGCTCCGACGGGGCCAAAATGGGAACTGGGCGCCGAAATCCCGTCCCCGAACACTCTGGATTGGCACGAAATGCCAGGGTCATCCAGCCAACGCCAAGACAACGTTGGGGTATCTTTCTCCCGTGGAATAATCCATTGTGGGCTCCCCTACACGCGAGATCGGTGGTTGTGGCCGTAGTCGTGATTATAGTCGTGGTTGTAATCGTGCTTGTAATCATGATTGTAGTCGTGATTGTAGCGTGATTGTAGTCGTGATTGCAGTCGGAATCGCAGGCGTGGTTGTAGTCGAAATCGTCGTCGTAGTCACACTCGTTGTCGTAGTCGTTGCCGTGACCGTAGTCGTAGTCGTCGTCGTCGTCGTCGTCGTCGTCGTCGTCGTCGTCGTCGTCGTCGTCGTCGTCGTCGTCGTCGTCGTCGTCGTCGTCGTCGTCGTCGTCGTCGTCGTCGTCGTTGTCGTCAACGTCAACGTCGTCGTCGTCGTCGTCGTCGTCGTTGTCGTCGTTGTTGTGCCGCGGGTGCTGCGGAGAAACAATTATTGTAGTGGCCTCCGGCCAGTGCCGCCGATCTGGGACGCTCCCGATCGTGCTCGGGTTCGCTTGGAGGCCTACGGGGCCGTCTTGGGGCTCTTTGGGGCAGTCGTACGAGGAGGTCTCTTGAGGGGGTCTTTGAGCCTTTAGGGGCTTCTTGGAAGACTTTTTGGCTGTCTTACTGATTCCCTGGCCCGTCGGACGCCGTCGGAAGCCGTCTTGAGCGCCTCGCTGTGCCGACTGGGAGCACTCTAGGGGCGCTTCAGGGCCGTCTTGGAGGCTATCTTGGCCGTCTTGGGGGCTATGGGGCCGTCTTGGGACCCTCCTGGGGCCGTCTCAGGAGCCTCGGGCCGTCATAGGGCCATCGTGGTGGCCTCTGGGCTGATCTTGGGGGACTGGGGCCGTCGGAGGGCCGAAAATGCGCCTTTTTGGGAGGGCATCCTGGGCCATCTTGGGTGCACCTTGAGCCGTCCGGGAAATATCTGTCGGCCATCTTGGGCTCTCTGGCCCCCGGGGTGAATTTGGTGGATTTTTACATTCTCCAGCCCCGCCCTGAAAGCGGAGCACAAGCGCCCCCGCTCCCCCCCCCCTTCCCTGACAGAGCCAACCCAGCTTCCCCCCAGCAGAGCTGAAGTTCAGGCTGTAGTCCGTAGCTCAGGCTCTTTGAAACTCACACGCCGCATCGGCGGATTTCCTACTATTGGTGGGACCCCAGTGGATTTTTTCTAAAGGCCTATCGAGGTTACTTCTTCGCGAGGCTCGAGTTGGCCCTGTCTGTTGGCGCGGCGCTGCACCCGTTCGTAGGCCTTCCAGATCGAGTAGAGTCGGAGGCAGGTTTGCTCGGCGGCCTGGCGGTTGATCAGCGCACCGTGCTCCCCGGCGCTCATGCCGTCCAGGACCATCGCCAGCATGATCACTTCCGACGTGATCGACGCCGTCTGCAGCTCTTAGCCGCTCCTGCGTCTCGACGCGTGCCGTGCGACCTCCGCGGTGCAGCTTGGCCAGCACCGTCGTCGCCATGAGCCCAGCCTGAAGAAGCGCCAGATCCGCCAGCCAATGAAAGTCAACGCCGCCGCCGAATCGTACACGCGGTGACTCCAGCCGGTGACCATTGTCATGGTATTTCCGTTGAACATCCAGCTCCCCATTTGACTCTTCTTGCTTACCTTGTTCTTGGCGCCCCTCTTCGCAGACGTGCTCCAGGCGCCCTCCTCCTTCATCTCCGTCCGCGCCATCAGCCTCTCCGAGGCGATGATCCCGCTGCTTCTCCGTAAGCCCAAGGTGCTCCATCCGAACGACGCCCCTCTTCGGGCGGGCGAACACGAACCTCTTGCCCCGCAAGGTCACGACGAGATCACCCGCTGCGCTGGATCCAACGCCGTCCAAGCAGTCGAATCCGTCCCGCCGACGCGCCAGACCAGCAGGACCACTATGCCCTGCTGCTTCCGCGCCCTGCTCTGCAAGCGGCCCCGGTTCCCGCGCGTCCACGGCGCTAGGCAGCTCGCTGGATCTCCTTGCCGCTGGGCCCAGGGAGCCTGCTTGCCGACTGGCTCGAGTGGCTCGGACCCGTGGTCCTCCTCGTCCGCACCCGCCAACCCAGGCGAAGTTGGTGGAACGCCGGCCACTCGCCAGCGCCAGCAGCGCGTCAGCGCCAGGGCCCAGGCGAGCGCGCCGTCCACACGGCGCGGCCAGGGCCGCGTGGCCCGCCCAGGGTTTGAAAGGGCGGCCGCTGGGCCGCCTCAAGCCCTTTTGAGCCGACACTGCAGGCACACCGCGAGTCCGGAAACGAGAAGGGTTCCAAGGAAACTGCACACATGGAGGAAGGAGGGCGGCCGAAACGACGTTTCGGGGCTGCTGCAGAAAAGCGTGTTTGCAAATGCGTTGGGGTGCGAGGAGGAGGAGGAGGAGGAGGAGGAGGAGGAGGAGGAGGAGGAGGGAGGAGGAGGAGGAGGAGGAGGAGGAGGAGGGGGAGGAGGAGGACCGAGGGGGGGGGGGGGCAAGGGAGGGGGAGTGGTCGGCGGGCCCCGCCCGCTCCCACCCGCCCTCCCGCAGCGTAAGAGTCCATGCTGACACGCGCGGATATCGGGACTGTCGCGCGCTGCCGCCTGGCGAGCGCAAGGCACTCGCGCGCTGCCGCGCGTCCCCCGCCTCCAGCGACGTGACGAGCGAGAAGCAGTGGGCCGCGCACCTGCCGAAGCAGAGCCCCCTGGGCACTCCCCGCGCGGCGCCGAGGCAACAGCACCACTGCGCTCGCCCGGCCGCAGGAGGCCCCGACGGGGCTCGCGACGGCAGCGCACGCGCCGCGCCGCCCGGGCGGGGCGCCGCAGCCCAGCGAGCCTCTGCGGGTCTCGAGGCGACGCTCCGCTCCCCTCGGGCGAGGCACCGCCCCCGGAGACCTGGGCGAGCGCAGGGCCCGCGCGGCGCCCGAGCGGGAGAGCGCCGCTGCTCGGGCGACGGGCGGGCGGCGCCCGGGCGAGGGCGTCGCTTCGTCCGCTCGCTCGCGGCCTCGCGTCCGACGAAGTGGCAGGCGAGCAGTCTGCGCCGCGCCCGGGCGGGAGCGCGGCTCTGAGGCGCAGGTGCGCGCGGCGCTGAGGCGATGTCGACATCACGCCGCCTCGCGCGCGATGTGGGCCGCGCCCCATTCGCGCCATGCATTTTGCATCGTCGATGGCGACCTGTCCATGTTGAGAGACAAACGTTGAGATAACTACATGGGTAGGGCGGAGAGGGCCCGGATTGAGCCGCTACCGACCGCCTAGGTTGCAGAGTGGGAGTGTATTTTTGTTCGGAATAAGTATATGATGATAATGACAAGCTTGAGGGAAGCGTGGGGGAGGGGGGCGATAATGGTGAGGCTTGGGAGAGGGAGGAGGAGGGGAGGGGGAGGAGGGGGAGGAGGAGGAGGAGGAGGAGGAGGAGGAGGGGGAGGAGGAGGAGGAGGAGGAGGAGGAGGAGGCGGAGGAGGAGGAGGAGAGGGAGACGGTGAGGCAGCGGGGGAGGAGGACGTTGGGGAGTTGGCGAAGAATGTGTGCCGAATCCAAGCACGCCGGTTGTAGTGAACGTGCTCAGGCACTTACGATAGAGTGCCAGGTACTGAGGAAAATAACAGTTTGATGAGGACGATTTTAGTAGGAACAGTAGGGCCACGACGATTCTCATCGACGACAAAGGTGACGACGGTGGCTCCTATCAGGAGTATGAGTTGGAGGGGTCGGAGTGACAGCGTGACAAGGATACGATGACAAGGGTTTAGCCGCAGTGTGTCTCTCAACTCCGCCAGTGGTGTTATGTGAGAGCCGTGGGTCCGAAGCGTGCTGGGCTGGGCGCAGGTCGAATCGTACTCTCGCAGGGTCGTGTGCATCGCGCAGGTAGAGCCTCAGGGCTCGTGTGTGTTACCAGCTCCCCCCCTGGGAGTGCGCATGTGCTGCCGACGCGTCCAGGCGCTCGCGGCTGCAGGCATCGTAGCCATCTTCGGACACCGTGCTCTCCTGGATCGTGGACTGGGAAAAGCTGGGGTTCGGTGGAACTTGGAGACTTGGGGGGCCAGAGTCGGCCCAGATCAGTAGGTCGACCCTGCCAGATCAAGGGCACCCTTGTGTCCTGCGTCTCGCGGCCCATGCTTCCTGCATTCCTGTGGCAACGTGGCCCTCGGAAGGGTCCTGTGTCCTCTCGGGTGTCCTGTCCAATCAAGGCCGACGGTAGGTGTGTTGGGGGACTTGAGGGGCCAGGGCTGTCTCGTCGAGGACAGTGTCTTTTCGCAGGCAGAGCGGCCCCGTGCAGGCCCGTGGAGCGGAACGACCACTGAAGAGCCACCCGTCGAGCTGGGTGGCCTGTGCGCGGAGGGTTGGCAACGCCTGCGGCGGAAGCAGTAGCCGCTGCTTCTTGGCGGGCAGCGACGCGGGGGCCTCACCTCCCACCTGCCCTCTCGAGTACGCGTCGCCCCAAGCAGTACGCCAGACTGGAAGACCGGCGTGCCCGCCCGAGGATACGCATGGCCAGCGACGGGGTGCTCTGTCTCGCGTCGTCGCTGTATCGCTGCCCTCCCGCATGCGCCTGATCGTGCTTGAGGCATAGGGGCTCCGTGGCCGCCGTGCCCAGGACGAACCCCGAATAGATCTTAACCTGGGTTTATAATGTTCCGGGAATCTTGACCAGGGTTCATAAAGGTCTCCCCCAGAGTTTATCATTCCTTGATAATGAACCACGGTCGACGAGGATTTCGCAGGTGGCCTCGCCGTGCCCGTTGCCCCGAATCGGCGCCCCACTCCGCGCTAGTCGCCGCGCGGCTCGGCAGAGGCAGCCTTGCGCTCCCACGGGGCCCATCGGGAGACGCGCGGCTCTCTTCGCGCCCTCGCGCCGCCGCCCTGGAGGCGGAGAGATTGAGGAGGAGCAGGCGGAGGAGGAGGAGGAGGAGGCGGAGGAGGAGGAGGAGGAGGAGGAGGAGGAGGAGGAGGAGGAGGAGAGCGAGGAGGAGGAGGAGGAGGAGGAGGAGGAGGAGGAGGAGGAGGAGGAGGAGGGAGGGTGGAGGAGGCGGCGGTAGGGGAGGAGGACGAGCGAGGAGGGGAGGAGGAGGCGGAGCGGAGGCGGGAGGGCGGGCGGAGGCGGCGGAGGAGGAGGAGGAGGAGGAGGAGGAGGAGGAGGAGGAGGAGGAGGAGGAGGAGGAGGAGGAGCCGGGTGGCTGGCCGCACGCGGGCAGCTCGGGGGGGCCAGGAAGACGAACCAGCTCGCGGTGCTGACCATGGTGGCGGCGGCGGTGCTGTTCCCGGTCTCGCCCGCCCAAGGGCCGAGATTCGCGACGAGTCGGGGACGGCAGAGAGGGGGGTGATGATCAGGGGGGGGTGGATATCACGGCGGGGGCCATGATGTCTGCCCAGACTTCGTGGCGCCTCTTCTTGTTTCAAGAATTACGTCCCCCCCCCCCCCTGGGCCACGCACACGCCGCCGGCCATGACTGGTGCCACCCCCTCTTGGACGCCCCCCTCTTGGCCGCCCCCTTAGAGGAGGCACCAGGGGCCTCTCGTGCGCCATCCTCGGGCGCTCGGAGCTCGCCTCTCGGGCCCCGGAGGACCTTTGAAAAACCCGCTCGGGCCGAAAAAAGCTGGTCCGTCGAGGGCCCGTTTCCCCTGGACGCACGTTAGTTTCATGCCAGAGAGAGGTCTGTCTTTTCTCGTCTCGCTGTGGCTGTTGCCTTCGACGAGGCATGGAGCGTGACGCCACTGCGTGCCCTTTCGCTTGGCTCGTCGCATCCACGAGTCGCATCCACGGCACCTCGAGGCGGCCCCCCGTCTTGGGGACGTGCGAGCAGGAGAGAGGGTTGGGGAGTGTTCAAAATAAGCCTGGGAGAGCCTGGAGCGTTTTGGGAACCCGCGGCTGTGAGTTTCGGACGAGGGCGCTATGCAGGGCTCTGAAAAGCATCACAGGAAGCAGATCGTGTCTGTTGTTATCTTTCATTTTAACTAGAAGATGCATGCATTTGTCCGTAAGGGTTTCGCCCTCTGCTTCCAGCCTCCTCTCTATCATCATTGCATTTGCCAGAGCTATGTTGGAACCGACTTGAAGCAATGTCGAAGCCTCTTGCGAGGACAACTGGTGTTCGTGACGCCATTTGCAAGAGATCGTGCCTTCGGGGGCCCAAACTGAGTGTAATTTGCGAAGGATTGTCGCCTCGGGGCGCGAATCTGGGGTAACCTACTTGGGCTCGGGAGCCCGAATCTGGATACATTTGCCAGGGACTGGCCTCGGGATCACGAATTCGGTGTAGTTTAGGAGGGAATGCCGGGAAGGTCTCACGGAGGAGGAGGAGGAGGCGGAGGAGGAGGAGGAGGAGGAGGAGGAGGAGGAGGAGGAGGAGGAGGAGAATTAGAGAGGATTAGGAGGATTAGGAGGAGGGAGAGGACGGAGGAGGAGGAGGGAGGAGGAGGAGGAGGAGGAGGAGGAGGAGGGGGGAGGGGGAGGAGGAGGAGGAGAGGAGGAGGAGGAGGAGGAGGAGGCGGAGGAGGAGGAGGAGGAGGAGGAGGAGGATAGGCAGGCAGGCCGGAGGAGAGGGGAGGAGGGAGGAGCAGAGGCTAAGGAGGATGGAGGTACGGAGGAGGGAGAGGAAGAAGAAGGTGCGGGTCCAGCGCCCGATCTAGGTCTCGTCCTCCTCCCCCTAGATTGAGGGCGGAGGGGATGACACGCGTCGAGAAGCCATTCGTCGATGCGATTCAGCGATGCGGCTTATGCGGAGCCCGATATTTTCTCCACGCTCAACGTCGCCGCGTCACTGAGTCGCCGACCGCATCGCGCACTTTGCATCGCATATAAATATAATATATATATATAGATATTATATATATAAATACTAATATAACTACATATATTTTTATATATTTTATATGAATAAATATTATTATATTATATATATATAATATGTATATATATATATATATACATACATGTAACGGCGCACCGGGTCCGGGGGCCCGGGGCCGGGACCCCGACCACAAATGTGGGCCCCGGGGGCCCGGAGGCTCGTCGGACCGCCGGACGCCGTCCAAGATCGTTCGCAGGCGGCTTCGGAACGCGCTCCGATGGCTCCAGATGCCTTCCAAGACGCCTGTCATGACACCAAGAAGGTCCCAGAAGCCTCCAAGTCGCTCCGAGAGGCAGCCCAAGAGAGGCCCAAGAAGCAAAAATCGTGCCATTCCTATGGGAAAGCGTATATTTTCGCATGTTCGCCTCTTGGGCTTTCACCGCGTCCAAGACGGCCCAAGAGGCGCCCAAGACGGTCTACGAGGCCTCCGGGAGCGCTCCAAGGCTGCGCACGAGTGGCACAGGACGGCCCCAAGACGGCCGAAGAGAGCCCCAAGACGAGTTCGAGAGGGGTCCCAGACGGAGAAAGCCAACCTCGAATTCCGAGCTTCCGGCCCAAGAGGCTCCAGGAGGCGCCAAAATGCCGCCAAGAGGCGCCAAAAGGCTCCCCAAAGCACCCCAAGACGTTCCGAGAGGCACCCCAAGAGAGGTCCAAGAAACAAAAATCGTGCCATTCCTATGGGAAAACGTATAGTTTTCGCATGTTCGCATCTTGGGCTTTCACCGCGTCCAAGACGGCCCAAGAGGCCTCCAAGACGGCCTAGGAGGCCTCCGGGAGCGCTCCAAGGCTGCGCACGAGTGGCTAAGGACGGCCCCAAGACGGCCAAAACGGGAGATTGATAGAACTCAGTAAAAGAAACGATAGAGAGAAACGAAAGCATACCCCAGGTCTGTGAATACGGGAGACCCCAAGATAGTCAGAAGGTTGGATGATGGGGTCCTAATTAAGCCAGAAGGGGGAAAGAAGGTAGCCACTCTCGAATTCGAGCTTCCGCCCAACGCCTCCCAGGAGGCGCCAAAACGCCGCCCAGAGGCGCCAAAAGGCTTCCAAGATCAGCCCAAGACGTTCCGAGAGGCACCCCAAGAGAGGTCCAAGAAGCAAAAATGGTCCCATTCCTATGGGAAAACGTATGCTTTTCAATATTAATTCTGGAGCGCGGCGTAAAAAGAGTATCAAAAGTCTGATCACGACCCAGCCTGAACTCGCGCCAAATACCTCCCCGGCATCGCTAGACACAACGCAGCCTATGAAGTGCGCTCATTCCATAAGTACGCCGTGTCCCCTGGGTACTACGCCTCCAACCGCACCGCGCCGCCAAGGAACGTCCCCCCCTCTGCCCCGACTTTTGGCACATCGCTTCAAGAGCGGGACACACACCACATGCCAAGGCCCCGCAGGGGGGACCCCAAGACGGCCCAAGATGAATGGGATGCGCCCAAGATGGCAAGAGGGCCCCAAGGACGGGCCCAAAGAAAGAGGGGGGGGCCCAGAGGGGGACCACGAACCGCAAGCTCGAGCCTTCCGCCCCAAGAGGCCGCCAGGAGGCCCCAAGGAGGCCCTTCAAGAGGCCCCAGGAGACCCCCAAGAGGCCAAAAGGAGGCTCCGAGAAGCCCCAAATCGGCCCCCAAAAATGCTTCGAACCTGCTTCCAGGAGGCCCCCGACAGGTTCAGAGGCTCCCGAGAAGCTACGTCAAACTCCCAGCGAGCGGCCGGACGAGGCCCCCCACAAAATCACAAGAGGGTTCCAGTGTTTGTATCCTTCAGCGCTCTCTGGCCTTTTTCACCCTGCCCCCTTCCCTGCGACTTTCGTTGACTCAAGCTCGCCTCCTAGCTAGAACCTAAGCGCGCGCGAAGCGCGCGCGTGGTTCTAGTATATATATATATATATATATATATATATATATCGGCGATGTTGCGCGCGCGCCGTTGAGTTGGGCCGAGGGTCAGAGAGCGCCTTCCTCTGCAGGACCACCAAAAAAGGGACGCCAAGGTGGTCATACGCCTCGCCGGTTGAGCCGACGAGGATGTGCAGAGTCCAGCCGTTCGCTTGTGTCCAAAGTTTTGGCTTCACGCCGGGTGTGGTGCATTGATTTCAGCTTGACGGAACAGGTTGATTGCGCCCCTTGACGTCCGATTGGGGTGTTCTGCGGACCTGACCCCCCAGCCCTACTCAAGCGATGTTGCGCGCGCGCCGTAGCCCACGTGGCATGCTGTGCGTGATGCGTGTCTGTTGTTCGCGGTTCTTCTCTGGGACCGACCAATGAAACAAACATTTTTCTCCGATCGGCGCTGGAGCCCTCTGGCGGCGCCTCTGGCGCCGATCCGAGAATTCCGCGCGGACCTCCGAGGTTTTATGTTTCTGTTGTCTGCTCCCCTGGTTCAGTGAAGGCCACAGCGATGTCCAGGCGCGTTCTCTTCTGTGCGTCTTGGGTCTCCACGCTGTGCTGCTTGGCCCCCCTTTAGTAGTGCCACAGGTCTGCCTCTTCATCCCCGGCGGGCTGACGTCGATTCCCTCGGCGTGGGCTGGCGCCATGAAGGCGGGCGTGAGCGCCGGCAAGCTGACCTCCCTGTTGGTCGCCTCAGGCTTCTACTTCTACATGTACCAGGACATGCCCTTACCAGTTTTTTGATCGCCACGATCTTTTGACCCTTTCGGCCCACATCTGATGCGTTGGCCCGCAGATCGAACCCTGGTCGGCTTCGCGCAGATCGAACCCTGGTCGGCTTCGCTTGAATTTTGATGTCATGTGCCCGTTGCGCGCCTCCACTCGGGTCGTTCGCATACATCGTGTGTGGATAGCAGACGAGGTCTCGACTGGATGCAACTCCATGAACTGAGAGTTTGGTCCCTTCCTCTGCTTCCCACCGCCTTCCTGGGATGGGGTCCAGCAGGGCGAAGACCAGACTTTCCCGTCGGAAGTGTGCCCCTATGGACGGTTGAGTGCAGACCTGCTCCTCTATGCCTGTCCGTGAAAGAGGGGTCCGCAGCTGTCATCCTTCTGGGTGCTGTCCTGCGTGCCGCCCATCACGCACAGCGTCCTCAACACCCTGAAGAGGGTCCTCTATCTGCAGCTCTCTGTGCTTCATCTCGGTTTTCTTTCCTGCTTCCCCTGCTCTTCCCGCTTCTCCTTGCTTCTCCACTTTGGACCCGCTTCTTCTATCCCTCCTTTATTATTGCCCCGTGGCGTGACGTGAAGGACGTGGCACGTGCATTTGCAGACGTCCAGGTTGGAGCCGTGCTGGCGATTATACTGGGATGCCCATGCCAGTTGACAGACAGCATTTGGCATCCAATGGGCTTGAGAAGTCCACACGCTAAATCATACGAACACAGGTAATGACACAGATCTGCCAATGCCCCTTGACGTTCAAATCGGAAGGGTTCGTAGAGCTGCGTTTACCTTGGGCTACAAAGATATCCATGTTTGGGTCGGGCTCTGGCTGCCAGCGCTGTGACCTACACAGCTTTCGTGTCTTCACGATATTTGATTCCGCGCTCCGTGAGTCGGCTGTCTTTGACGCTTGCAGTTTGGATTCGTGGCGGACCCCTCTCTTCGGCCTGATGGAAGCCTGTTTCTGAAGGGCTCAGCCCTCTGCCGCCGACCCCCCCCTCTCTGATTGCTTGCATGACTGGATCGATTGGGTTGGTTAGTTGATTGGCTGATTGGTTGGCTGGCTGTCACTTCGGCTCGTTGGCTCGCTGTCCTGATGGACGGTTGCCCGGTTGGCTGGCCAGCTGGTTTGCTATTGAGTTTGGACAAGTGGACGCCGGGGACCGGGGGCGAGAGCCGACCCGACCCAGCGCGCGCGCGCGCCATTACTGCATGCCTTCGCTTCTGCTCCTGCCAAGCATGGGAGCATCCCCCTCCGAGCCCCCCCCCCCCTCCTCCTGCGAATGTTCCTGGTGGGAGTGGACGCTGGAGGGTCGCCGACAGGCCTGCGCCACTGGCGCAGATGGGGAGCCTCCAGGGCGTTTTGTCAGCCCGCGGCTTCTCGAGGAGCGCGCCGTGCAGGGGGGAGCTTCGCCCAGAGGCCCGGCCCGCTCCTGTGCCCAGAAATCCAGTGTATGGACAAAAATCAGAACGGAGGTTTTTTTGCCGCTTTCGGCCTCTAGAGGCGCTCGCCGGGCCTCGGGACCATCAACGGAACGGCTCAGGATGATCAACCGGCCATGGGGAACGGGATCGAGATTTCCGGGGACCCCGTATTGGAAAAAGTCACGGCACCCGATCTCTGGGTGCCAGCCCGCAGGTCGTCATCATCATCGTGTCGATCATCGTCTTCCGCACTCCGGCGACACCGAGGGGAGACGGGACCCCGCCGCTGCCCCTATCTTCGAAGAAAAACGGCATAAACATAAATTTTCAGCGCTCCGCGCGGATTTCTTGGATCGGCGCTGGGCCCCCCTGGCGGCGCCTCCGGCGCCGCCCCTGGCGTGCTCCGCGCGCCAGGGAGGGGTGTCCAGCGCAGATCCAAGAAATCCGCGCGGAGCGCCAAAAGTTCATGTTTATGCCGCTGGCCAGTCGTCTACCTCTCAGGACTTGTTTCGATTCGATCTCTCCAGTTCGACCCTGATCAGGTCGAAGCTGCAACCCCACACCGATGCGGCTCATCTTTCCGAGCCGATTCTTTCCCACCCAGCTTGCTGGGGGCCGATCAGATTTTTTCCCACTAGCGAAACGACTGCGAGATTCCGATCGACCTTCCTGTTGAGGCGAAATCTCTCTCCATCCTCCTCCGCCCTCTCGTCCGTCCCTTCGGTCGTCCGTCGGCCGCCACCGCCGCCGCCGCCGCTGCCGCTGCCGCTGCCGTGGTCGCGGTCGTCGTCGTCGTCGTCGTCGTCGTCGTCGTCGTGGTCGTCGTCGTCGTCGTCGTGGTCGTGGCCGTCGTGGCCGTCGTCGTCGTGGCCGTCGTCGTCGTCGTCGTTGTCGTCGTCGTAGTCGTCGTGGTCGTCGTCGTGGTCGTCGTCGTCGTGGTCGTCGTCGTGGTCGTCGTCGTCGTGGTTGTCGTCGTCGTCGTCGTCGTCGTCCTCGTCGTCGTCGTCGTCGTCGTCGTCGTCGTCGTCGTCGGCGTCCGGAATTAGGTGGTGGACAGACCTGTGTCCGACGCGGGCGCCCGGGGGGGGGAGGGGGAGGGGGAGGGGTCCGAGGTGGCCGAGGGGGGCCCGAGGGGGTGCGGGGGTTCGCCGTCGCACTCGTCGCACTCGCCGTGGCCGCCGTCGCGCTCGCCGCGCTCGTCGCAGTCGTCGTCGCACTCGTCGTCGCACTCGTCGTCGTCGTCGTCGTCGTCGTCGCACTCGTCGTCGCACTCGTCGTCGTCGTCGTACTCGCACTCGTCGTCGTACTAGCCGCACCTCTCGCCGTCGCACTCGCCGCGCGCGCCGTCGTGCTCGTCGCGCTCGGCCGCCGCGCCCGCCGCACTCGCCGTCGCACTTGGCGTGCCAGCCGCCCTCGCCGTCGTGCTCGTCTCCGATGAGGGCTCGCCGTCGTGTGAGCGTCGTCATGGTTTGCCCGCTGAGGTCATGCTTGCTCGAGTACCCATCGATCGTTGAAAGTGTGTATTTATGGATCCCCAGAGCCCAATCTACTTCAAGCGCCTTCCTGCTTCAAGAATCGATCTGCTTTTGCTGCGTTTCGTTACTCTCTGGGCGGGCCCGAACCCAATCTACTTTATCCGCCTTCCTACTTCATGCTTCTACCTACTTCTTCCGACCGATGGGGAACCTGCTCGATTCCGATTCGATTCCGTCGGGGCTCGCGAGGCGGGAGTCAATGCAAACGGGGGTCGGTCAGAGCGCTGGATCTTGCAGGATGCTGCAGGGCCAGGGGTGCAGTGACCTTGGTTTGCGTGCAGGGGCCTGCGGGATCCTGCAGGACCTTGCAGGATCCTGCAAGGCCTGACTGACCCGGGTCTGGATTGACCCGGGTCAGTAGATACCCGATTCCGATTCGGCTGAACAAAAACAAGAAAGTTCCGATTCAGCTTCACGTTTCCGATTCTCGAGCCGATGCGGCGATCGCCGACTTGGGCCCCGATTCAAAAAGATTCGACGGGATTTAGGTTTCGATCTGGCTGCCCGACCCGATGCGGACCCCTACTGCCTTTCCGCCTCTCCCGCTGCCCGCGCCTCGGCGTCACCTCAACCTACTACTACTACTATGCTCGCGCCGCCCCCCTAGGGCGACACGCGCACCGAAAAATCATCTAGTATATGCGTCGTGGCCGGCGCCTTCTGGCCACACCGCTCGGGAAACGATATACATACTACAGGATGGGTATACTATATGTGTTCGGGTCGGACACGCGCCTCCAAGGAGGACATCTAGTACCGGTATGTATATGTGCGTCCCATCGCTTCCGTGCAAGGGGGGGGGCTGCGAGGGCCTCTCTCTCTCTGGCTGCCCGCGCTGGGAGCCCGCGCATATCCCCGCTTCGTCGTGACAAAGACCCAGCACGACAGGGACCTGGCCGCTTCTGGCCCCGCCCTCACATTGCGGGCCTCCGCGCGGGACCTACACAGGGGCCGTTTTTTTTTTTTTTTTTTGTTTTTCCCCCCAACCCCTCCTTGGGTGGGTAATCGTTTTGAATAGCGCAGTGTGGTCGCCGACCCTTCTCGCCTAATGGCGGTTTTCGCCCTCTGCGGGGGGGCTGCGATCTGCGAAACTGTGCCATTTTCGAGGCTGTGGGGGGCCAGCACAGTGAGAAAACGCGCGGACGGGTTCAAATCAATCGCCTCTGATCGGCTGCGATCTGCGAAACTGTCGCCATGTTCGAGGCCTGCTGGGGGGCCCAGCACAGTGAGGGCCACGCGCGGATTCAAATTAGACCTCGCCATCCCTGGGGGGCTGCGATCTGCGAAAATGTCGCCATTTTCGAGGCCTGCTGGGGGGCCCAGCACAGTGAGGGCCACGCGCAGATTCAAATTAGACCTCGCCATCCCTGGGGGGCTGCGATCTGCGAAACTGTCGCCATTTTCGAGGCCTGCTGGGGGGGCCCAGCACAGTGAGGGCCACTGGCAGATTCAAATTAGACCTCGCCATCCCTGGGGGGGCTGCGATCTGCGAAACTGTCGCCATTTTCGAGGCCTGCTGGGGGGGCCAGCACAGTGAGGGCCACGGGCAGATTCAAATTAGACCTCGCCATCCCTGGGGGGCTGCGATCTGCGAAACTGTCGCCATTTTCGAGGCCTGCTGGGGGGCCCAGCACAGTGAGGGCCAGGCGCGTGTGCTGGGAACTGATATAGTAGACGTCGTTCTGCTTGCGCATTCACGCGGTGGGGACGCGACCGTGTGTGTGTCTTGTAATACTGACGGCTCATGTTGTTTCTCGTGTTCGCGATGGATATATGACTGGTGTGTGAACCGCGCACTCGCAAAGGTGGGAGGGCGCATCAGCGGCGGATTCAAAATTAGTACCTCGCATCCCTGGGGGGGCTGCGATCTGCTGCACTGTCGGCCCTTTTCGCGGCGGCTGGGGGGGCCCTGGAGCCCAGTGATGGGCCGGGTATACGCAGCATGCGCTCGCGCACTCTCGCTCAAGCCCGCTAGAGGGGGAGATATGCGATGTAGCTATGGGCCCCGGCGGGTGGAACGCTGTTAGGACCGCTGCTATTTGGTTGCGCGAGGCCTGCTGGTTGTGAGGGGCCCAGAACAGTGGATGTGGGGGCACGCGGCGGATTCAAAATTAGCCCTCGCCATCCCTGGGGGGGCTGCGATCTGTGAAACTGTCGCCACTTTCGAGGCCTGCTGGGGGGCCCAGCACAGTGAGGCCACACGCAGACCCAAATTAGACCTCGCCATCCCTGGGGGGCTGCGATCTGTGAAACTGTCGCCACTTTCGAGGCCTGCTGGGGGGCCCAGCACGGTGACGCCACACGCAGATTCAAGTTAGACCTCGCCATCCCTGGGGGGCTGCGATCTGTGAAACAGTCGCCACTTTCGAGGCCTGCTGGGGGGCCCCAGCGCAGTGAGGGCCACGGGGAGATTCAAATGAGACCTCGCCGTCCCTGCGGGGCTGCGATCTGTGAACCTGTCGCCACTTTCGAGGCCTGCTGTGATCCCCGTTTTCGAAGTGGCTAGGAGTGCTCAGGAATTGTAAATCATCAGCTTTATCAAGCCCTTTTCCTGTAGCCAGTCTCCTGCGAGTCTCCCGAATTCCGTCTGCAGACATATGTAACCCTCGCTCCGTCATCGCCCCCTTATAAAGTATCCTAAACTATTTGCGCCCCGCTTTTGCGCAGGTTTTTTTTTTTTTTTTTTTTTTTGTTCTTTTTTTATTTTTATTTTTCCCAACCCTCCTTGGTTGGGTATTCGTTTTGAATAGAGCAGTGTGGTTGCGTTCCCTTCTCCGCCTCCCGCCTCTTCCTGTCTTGCCTGCGGGGGGCTGCGATCTGCGAAACTGTCGCCATTTTCGAGGCCTGCTGGGGGGCCCAGCACAGTGAAGGCCACGCGCGGATTCAAATTAGACCTCGCCATCCCTGGGGGGCTGCGATCTGCGAAACTGTCGCCATTTTCGAGGCCTGCTGGGGGGCCCAGCACAGTGAGGGCCACGCGCGGACCCAAATTAGACCTCGCCATCCCTGGGGGGCTGCGATCTGCGAAACTATCGCCATTTTCGAGGCCTGCTGGGGGGCCCAGCACAGTGAGGGCCACGCGCGGATTCAAATTAGACCTCGCCTTCCCTGGGGGGCTGCGATCTGCGAAACTGTCGCCATTTTCGAGGCCTGCTGGGGGGCCCAGCACAGTGAGGGCCACGCGCGGATTCAAATTAGACCTCGCCGTCCCTGGGGGGCTGCGATCTGCGAAACTGTCGCCATTTTCGAGGCCTGCTGGGGGGCCCAGCACAGTGAGGGCCACGCGCAGATTCAAATTAGACCTCGCCATCCCTGGGGGGCTGCGATCTGCGAAACTGTCGCCATTTTCGAGGCCTGCTGGGGGGCCCAGCACAGTGAGGGCCACGGGCGGATCCAAATTGGACCTCGCCATCCCTGGGGGGCTGCGATCTGTGAAACTGTCGCCATTTTCGAGCCCTGCTGGGGGGCCAGCACAGTGAGGGCCACGCGCGGATTCAAATTAGACCTCGCCATCCCTGGGGGGCTGCGATCTGCGAAACTGTCGCCATTTTCGAGGCCTGCTGGGGGGCCCAGCACAGTGCGGGCCACGCGCGGATTCAAATTAGACCTCGCCATCCCTGGGGGGCTGCGATCTGCGAAACTGTCGCCATTTTCGAGGCCTGCTGGGGGGCCCAGCACAGTGAGGGCCACGCGCGGATTCAAATTAGACCTCGCCAACCCT